GGTCGCAAGTTTGGTATTTTAGGTATGTCGATGATTCTCTGAGCCTTGATCACGTTCAGAAGGAAAAGTTCTTTTTTAAAAGCTTCTTCTTGCGCTGCTTGATATGCCTTTTCCCCGCGAACGCTGTTTGGGATTTCTTTCACCTTCTTGTCAAAGTCTTTGTTCACATTTTCTATAAACGTATATATTTTGTCCCATCGTTCCAAAAGCCCTTCGATAGCATTCGAAATCTCAGCCACCTGGAAGATGGTTGAAATCTCGTCGCTAAGGACGGGAAAATGGAAAAGATGCTCCAGGGTCTTCTCCGCTTTTAATATCAAGATCGAACTAAAGTAGTTTATAAACGATGTATGTAAAAGGTCTTTTGCCTCTATAACGTGTGGATGGACCCTTTCTTCATCTTGAAGTGTTTCCTTTTGTGTCGCAAGTATCTGCCCTCTTAACCGGCGGCGGGTCGCCATCTTAACGCGATTCAAGTCATTGTCGCGATTCTTTGCAGATATGGCGGGGGTGGCTTTCGAGACGACGTAAACGTTGATAGCTACGACAACATCAAAAAGCAGCATAGCTATGACACAGCAAATAATTGCATGCATGGCGTTCATTATCGTTTAGTAGATGGTGCTAGATGGGTGGACAGAGAACGTCTGACGCTACATAATATAAAAAAAGTTAATTCTTTTTCTATCATATTATTTATATACAATTACAAATTTGGCTGTTGACACTACAGTAACATAGTTTTGATGAAAGTGTTGTGGGTTCCCGATTCGTGGTGTTATCAGGACAATGGATACTCTTAGTGGATCGCCATTTCTGCTGTGATGTTCAAAGTTCAAGCAAAAGAGATACATGACGAGTGTGACATTTGTCGAAATTGGGCGAGGCGAGTTGTACACGCATAAAGATCAATGAGCTGTTGTGCATCAAAGCATTATGATAGTTTACAAACAATTCTGGGTTCACGTAGTCCGTATGGAGCGGAAAAACATAGCATAAACAGTCCTTTATGC